AGTTATTAATTATTAGAAATCACTGAATGAGCGCATATTTGCTCGGTCCATTCGGACGAATGCAAGCGCACAATGAAGTACTGCCTATGACGTTACATGTTTGTGGTTATTAGAAACGTAGCGAAATGTTTAGATTTGTTTGTGGTCTACAAATGATAGAACATAAAACTGCCTTGCTTGGAAATTACCCGAGCCCGAGGAAATCATCGAAGATTATGACTGTCAACCCTAAGCAAATTTTCGTGACCAAGAGGCCTGGAAATTCGAAAATAATTGACAAATATTAATATTATCGACTGTTGATATAAAGTGATCATTTTTAACATAAATATTTGATACTGCACATCTCCAAACATTTCACGCTCCTAGCAATTGCGAATGCGCGAACGTTAGTCGATCATATCTCGCTATGTGCTTTATTTAATAATTAACGAAAAAAGTGATAGAAATTTTTTGTTGCAATAATAGATATATTTTTAATTACATAATAATAATTATTATTGACATATATAGATATATTATTATATATTGGATATTTCAGCGTGCGAAATAAGTAGATATCTATATTATCTATCATTGTATATGATTTTTACGCGCACAATAGGATCCAAAAGATTCACAATCGAGAATAATAAAAATAATCACTGTTGAAAATATATTCTATTGATATTTGCAAAATTTATTCAAAGAGAAGTAAATTAATTATATGTAAAATAAAGAATACGTTTTATATGTCATGTGTTATATGGTGCTCTGAGCATATATCATATGCGATTACATAAATCGATTTGAACAGCCTTCAAATATCACATATTACAAATTATATAAATATCACATATTATAAGTTATATAAATTATTAATAAAAAAGTTGTTAAAAAAATGCAACTGTTGGTATTGATTTAATGAAATATTGTGATGTTATTGATTGTGGGTTAATTGAGTTTCAATTATTTTAATCCATTTCATAGTTAAAATAATTTAATTATCCCGCGTTTATATAATATTATAATACGTATATAATACTATGATACTTATATTGAACTTTTGAGAATTTTCGATACTTGAAACCATAGTATAACCATAATATAACAATAAAGGTATTCTATGGTATCTTTGATTTTTATATCCACATCACGTGGCATTCCGCCATGTATAAAAATGATACATTTCATTTGATACTCGCAATGCTTTCAAAGTTATTTTTGTTATTTATTTTTGTTGTTTATTTAATGTTAAACAGTGATAATAACAAGTGTTGCGAGCATCAAGTAGAATTTACTTTAAATGAAAAAGCAGAGTCGAATATAAAAATCGTAAGTGTTCTATGATATACCACCGATGAAATGTTATTAAAAATTGATAATCTTATGGGAGTTCACATAATTGTTAAAATTTTGAATAATTAGTCTATAATATAATATTAATTTATTATTATTGCAATATTTTGTAGACAAAAAAAATATATATATATTCATAACCTGTTGTTATATTTAATTTTGTTTAAAGTTGCATTTTTATAATTATTATAATCTATGCTTGATTATAAAGATGATAATTGAAGAAAAAAGAATTGTAACGTTGTGATAATGTGTATGATGTTATAGATAACAGTATAAGTATATTTATAAAACATATGTATCATACATAATCATGAATTTAATAATTTATTATTCAAATATTTATGTTAAAGATGATCATTTTATACCAACAATCGATAATATTAATATTCTTCAATTATTTTCGAATTTCTAGGCCCCTTGGTCACGAAAATTTGCTTAAGATTGATAATCATAATCTTCGGTGGCTCGGGTGGCTTAAGTGATTTCCAAACAATCAAAGAGTTATACAAAAAACTTAATCAATAAAACTTAAGCAATAAGCGATCAGCCAATTACAATCGAGAACATAAGGCAGTAACATAAGCAGTAGCAAATCCATAACGTTGATTTCCTTACTACTTAAGTTTTGCTGTTTAAGTTTTTTTGTGTGTCCCGCCCTAAGTGTTTCATTACAAATGCTTTGAAATGATTGATCAATAAGAATAAAGAATTTTATCAATTGACCTAATTAAAAATACTTTGAATATTTGTAACTTTTGCCAAGTTTGATCAAAAGTTTATTTTCTGTTTCTACATTAGATTGTACTAAAACTTTCTATCTCGTTTTTGTCAAATTTCAAATATATATTTATTTCATTTTAAGTACAACGAATTGTTTACTATGTCAGGAAAAAGACAGATTATAGAAAAGATTATAAATTGACTAGAACTTAGCTTACGTTTTCGATATTCTTCGAAAATATATAGTTCGTGTCACATATACTATAGATTTTTGTACTGGCAGTGAATATTGGAACACAGCCTTAATATGCATAGCACAGTATAACCTCACTTTCATAGTAAACAGTTTGCTTGGACTAAAAGGATAATATAAAACTTTACTGTGTAATATACATAATTACAATCAGTCTAGAAGCAACGAAGAAAAAATCTCGAGAATTCCATGTTATATGCCCAATTACTCGTTAGAGTAGAGAGCACTCAATCAAAAAAAATAAATAAATAAACAGTTTTTATATTATTACAATGAAATGTTTTCATAATTTTATTGGAATATATATCTTATACATATGTTTAACTTAACTTTCTTTATATGATCTTGATTACTCATATATGAGCTAAATTCACTATGAACTTAACAAACTTGGATGCCTTTTTGGGGCGATTTAAACGAGTTAGCAAAGTTACCATTAATTATGCCACTTGTTTTAATGTATCACCAAATGTTTTACCTTGTACGTCAAGTACTTTTATATGTAATGGTTATAATACAACTTGCCTAAATGTACAAGATTTGACTGTAAACAAGCAGCAGTTTGTATTGAATAATATAATTAAATATGATAATTCAAAAATACAGAATAATTTTCCATACATATCTCATCCTCGACATATTTTCTATAAAAGTTTATACAATGAAATGAAATATCCTAGACATAAAACTTGTCACACTGGTCTATATTATAACAGTATTCGATATCTTTCAAGTACTAGTATCAATTTCACTGAAGGTCAAATTCCAATGCAATTTCAAAACAATATATTCAAAGCGATATCAGAAAGCATGCCAGTTAAAGTCACACAAGATTCTTTACTATGGCTACATGATTATACAGGTTTACCATGGTGGTTAATTATTGTACTCACTACTGTTATAATAAGAACAACAGTGACATTACCATTATCTTTATATCAGGTAAGTTTGTGAATATTACGAATTGTATATTTATAATAATATGTATAAATGTATATGATAAAATTATTATATGTATAATATAGACATTATATGTATATCTGTACAATTTAAAGGAGAAAATATATGAAACAAACAACATTATAAGACTTTAATGATTGTGTAAAATAGTTACTTCTTTTTTTCTATACATGTTATTACATTCTGTACATGTTGTTACCTTTTAATTTCTTTAAAGTTTTAAATAAATGCCATATCTTATTTAGAAAATTACAATTATATTTTTAACTTATTTGATACAAAGTTATATTAAAAATTAACTGTTTTTTCTTATTTATTGTTCTTTCGTATTATTTGAAAATATAATGCAATTTTTAGGTTCTTTAATAACTTTAATCATGATATTTTCAGTTATATATATTGGCAAAATTGGAAAATCTTAAACACGAAATGGATGAGATAGTTAAAGAGATGAAAATAGAAATAAATTATGGAACGCATAAATATAATTGGTCTAAAGAATATGCTAGACGTTTGTACAATCACTCTGTAGGTAATGTTTTAGTCTGTTTAGTTGAAGGTTTTGAATAGAGAACGACGAAATCTCTCTTGGAATATTTAATCTTTCTAAATATTTGTCATTTTTATTATAGATGAAGAAACAATGGAATAAATTAATTGTTCGAGAAAACTGCCATCCAGCTAAAGCTAGTTTATTAGTATTAGTGCAAGTACCATTGTGGATATCATTATCAATGTCTATTCGAAATTTATGTTATATGTTACCTAAACAGGATATTGGTATGTATGATAATATTTAAATAACATAACAATTAGCATGTTTCTAACATATTTATTTCATTAGATGCTTATACTACTTATCAGGAATTTAAAACTGGTGGATTTTTATGGATAACTGATTTAACTATACCGGATTTTTTCATCCTTCCAATAGCAATGGGATTATTCAACTTGACCATTATAGAAGTAAGTTTTTAATACAATGATTAAAACTATTACAGAAGAATACGAGAAAAATCAATTTTGAAATCTTTTTATATTATTATAGTGTTATCATTTTTTTTACAGATAAATTATATGAATAGGGTAGAAAAGCTATCAAAATGGCAGAAATATTTGATTAATTTCTTCAGAATTGTTACAATTGGAATGATTCCAATTGCTATGTCCGTACCCTCTGTAAGATATACAATTAATATTTCAAAATATTTTTTACACATAAATAATTTATTCTTATACAAACAAAATTATTTACATATTGAAAAGCTTTTGAAGTAATATTTGAAATATTTTTGCAGTGTTTGAGCTTATACTGGACAACTAGCAGTGCATTTGGTCTTTTTCAAAATTTAATCTTATTATCTCCGAAATTACATCGTTTCACAAAAATGCCTACAACTATATCTCAATCACATCCATATTTAGCGCTGCGTGACAAGATAGCAATTAGATGTCGTTTTAAAAAAGGAGTGGAAAATTCGCCGAAGATATAAACATAAGTCACTTATACAAATAAGTCATACAGGTTTTACAAAATATTTTTCCTTGTTTATAAATTCAATGTCTTTCGTATCTATCTTGATATTCAATGAAATTTTCTTAAATAACTTGTGTATGTAATTTGGAAACAAATATTTTTTTCTGTATAAATAAAAATGCATAAATTTGAGAGAACATATAATATATAGATTCTTTTAAGAAAATATTAAATATATAATATTGTATAACAAATTAATATATAATATCTAAAATTTTATACAAATGAACAATCATTTACGCTTTCAATTAACAATTATGAACATCTTTAAATGTTTTTTTTATGATACACATTTAATTTTAAATAAGAATTTTATATGAATTGTTTTTTGAAAACAGAAAGCAGCTTAAGAGCCAATACTATAAAATAGCAGATTACAACACAAGGACGATTTATTATTATTCTCTATTATTGAAAAAATAACGTATAAGAGTTTTTCTCCATATAAGAATATATTATAATATACTACGGTATATAAATGTGTGAAAATTATAAAAATAAAAAGAAGATGTATAAAATAAATTAACAAAAATCAGATTCTCAAAATGACACACAATTAATAAATATAATAGGGCAAATAAGAAAAGCGCGTAAGAAGAATTTCTCATTTGCCCTATTTGTTAATTATAATCGGAATAATTTTTTTTACATTATCTTTAATATTACATGAAAAGTTTCTACAGTTCGTAATTTATATTGATTGCTTAAAATAATTTTACCAAGTATTTGAGTGCTTTATAATATAATGTAGCGTATAAAATGTTGCAATAGATAGATTTTCCTGCTTAAGATATTGCTATTGATGCACTTGAGAAATGTTGATTTACATCACCTTTACCCTTTTGCATGAACTAATGATAACGAAAAGACAAGAAGCGTAATAGGAGAGACGCATCTATGCGTGATAGCAATATTATTTCCTTAATCGTATCTGTTGATGATTTTATATATAAGGTCGATTTCTTGGCGAAGCAAGGCAATCGAGTTGAATCAAACGACGATTAATACGATCAAAGAGCGATATTCAAGATGAAGTCTTGTACAGTTTTGTTATGTCTAGTACTATGTATAGTGCCGTTTGTTATGACACAATCACAAGTAAGTACTTCGTAAACAATAATAAGTAAACGGAAGTCTAGAAAGAGAGAAAGAGATTAACCAGAAACAATCAGGCATGAATAAAACGAAACGAACACTCTTTGCGAAAGTTAGAAATGTTTAGTTTAAAACAAATTGTTTTTTTTTGCATTTCATATATGTGTGTTTGAATAATCTTTTAATATTTTAATTTGCGAGAAAGTATTTTCTCACATTTGTAAATATTTTACTTAGATGTTTTTTATCATTACTGTAACAACTAATTATAATCAATAATTATAATCGATTATCGTAATCATAAAATTGTTACGTACTATACTTTTAAAAGTCATACTATACTTTTGTGAATTTTATAGCCCATTGATTATAAAATAAATAAAAATAAATGTTTTATTTGTTTGTTTTTAAAATTCGAATTCCTCGAATATTACCAAAGCGAATATTATCAAAATATTTGCTTTTACCGATAATACGTTTCTTCAAATTTATTTCTTCGAATTTCTATTTTCGTAATTTTTATCACCGTCTTTTATGAAAGGAAATATTTGTTTTTTTATTCATATGATCTACTCTCTCACTTAATCTAGTGGCTGAGAACTAAAATTGGATGATTTATTCATTTAGGCACATGTATTGCCCTATCCGGGTGACTGCAGCAAGTATCAACAGTGCGATGCGAGTGGTTGCTTTGTGTTCAGCTGTGGTGCAGGAACAGAATTTAATCCTGCTATAAATACTTGTGACTATCCTTTGAGAGATCGTACAGGATGTAATAATCGTGGATGAGAACTTTCGAGTTCGAGAAGTTATTGTAAAGAGACATGAGATTATTTTGAAATATTCCATCCCTATGAATATACATTATTACATTTGTGTAAATAAAGTTATAATATTGATTTAAATTTATTTCTTACATTGATCACTCTATCTTATTATTGTAACGAGCAATTTCTTTGCTATAGTTAAAATACGATAGAAATTAAATAGCAAAGATAATTGAAGATAATAAATAAATTTATTTCGTGTCATTTTCGCATGTAGACTGACAATGTGTTCCGCAAGCTGCGGAAATGTAAGTAATTTATACCAGCATCGAAAGCGTGTAGTTGTGCTACGGTAAAACCATTATTGTCATTTATGATAGCCAATGCGATACGACGAGGAGCAGCGGTAGGCGATGATCAAAACGATGTCAGACGCGAAAAGAGTATATCGTACAGTACACAACGGTGCGGTCGCGACTTTCGTTTATGCATCTCATTTATCGAAAACGATTATTAATCTATTTTTCACAGCTCCAGATAAACTTATCCGTATTGTGTCTACATCGGAGAGAACGTACTTCCGGTGGTGACGATCTACGTCGGAGAAACTCCCAGATTGCGATCTGGCAATAAATACCGTTAATCTTCTAATCACGTTCCTACGATTGCGGTTAAATGGGTTTTTAGAAAATTATATAAAAATGTCGGTCAGCTTATTTAATTCTATTGCTTCTCCTATATTATTGTCATTTTATTGCTGTAATCAAGAGAACAAGAGTGGTAAGTTGATTAATGAGTAATTTTGTGTGTTACAAATATTTAGTTTTAGCCTTAAGAAATTACCTTTCTTTTTATTATTTTATTATTTTATTATTTTTAGATTATTTATTATTTTATAGATGTTTGATCAAGTTATTAATTTATTATTGCCCCCCTCTCTCTCTCTCTCTCTCTCTCTTCTTTGT